TGATAGCAAAGTATAGTTATCTGGAAGATTGATTTTTCTTGTGTTTTTGGGAATAGACTGAATGCGAGCAATCTTCCAATGAGAAGGAAAAACCCCTTTCTTGTGAGACAGGTTGAAAAGTCTGCAAAATACTGGTGCGAGTTCATTTGCGCACTTTTTAAGAACGATGACGGGCACTTCATCTGGGCCAGACGCCTTGTTGATGTTGAGCTGTCTCAAAATTCGCCTGACTAGATGCCCTCGAAAAATAATTTCCGACATTGTGGATTGTACTGTGGAGATAGTGGGGGTGCCTTTCCCAGAAAATCGACTGTAGAGTGGGACGCAAATTGTTCAGCTAGTAGATTTGCTTTTTCTATGACTGTCGTTGCAATTGAAACATCCGCTTGTGTGATGGTGTATGGTGGAATTGTGGATTTTGTAAAGTTCTGATTAACAGCTTCAGCTACCGACCAGAATGATCTAGACCCGTTGGGATTGGCAAGCAGTTTTTCCCTAATTCTCTGATTGTGACGTTCTTTGCTTTCATTTATCATTTGGCAGCTGTTGCTAGCATTAACAAACCTAGTTCGGTTTTCGGCACTGGGATTTTTGCGCCACTGCCGGTAGGCGAGATTTTTGGAGGCGACAGCTTGCTCGCAATTTTCGTCGGTAATTCACTCAACACTGAAATGAGTTTGTGGTCAGAAGATTACAATGTAGATCTTACGGTGACTGTGTAAATGTCTGGATTGGTTGTTAGGTATAGATCTAGAAGACTAGCATATTCTCCATCACGGTCAGGAATCCTGGTTGGCTCATTTATAATCTAAGTATGTCCGCTGCTTATTGCAAAAGCCTCAGCTTCACGACCTTGTTCGTCATTGATATTTGAAAATTTGAGCCACTCGATACTGTGGACACTGAAGTCACCGAATATGGAAATTTCGGCACTGGGATGATTGATTTGCAGAAAGTCAATGGTGTTTGCAAGTGAAGAGAATAGTGCCCTATATTGTGTATTGCTAGGTGATCGATAAACGTAGCATATGAATTTGGTGATCTTCTGTGATATCATTTTGAACCACATAACACATAACAAAGTTTCGGGTTTCCAGCATTTCCTCTCGTTGGCAGGAGAGATCGCTTCTGATAAAAAAAAATATTCCAAAGTTATGCCTGAATCGGGAGTGGAAATCAGGTATATAGAAGCACATATTTTGGTTTCTGTGAGTGCAAGAATATGAGGACTATTTGATTGCAGAATCGATTTTGAAGTTGCCAGTGGGCCTCTTAGCAACTGCAGTTACCTTGCTATTTCCCTGTGGACTGGTGTTAGGAAGACCCTACTGACTGTCAGAAATAGTGGTTTTCGAATAAATTCTGCAGGATGATGCCCCTGAATCAGCCGCCACCCCGATATCTGACTGGGGAGCTATTTTATCTCCGGAGTATTCTGACCCGAGGAGCGCCATCGTGCATTTTCCCTATATTCTTACCCTTGAAACTGGAAACAGCGGCACAGCAACGAAACGTTAGCCCGAAAGCAACGTCACGCGCGCTGCCTAAGCCGTTGCGATGGTATCTCACCGGACGATGCTAGGTGGGACCAGCATCTACCATCTACACGTCCTCATCTACATCAAATGTGTGTTACAATTGTATGAAGGACGTCTGTTGATCTTCAATTCCGGAAATCATATTGATGATTGCTTTAGATGTTAAAGCATTCTAAATATTCAAGAATATGATGATTTGGACATTTCTTCGTGATTTTCGATATAACTAAAAGTGAAGCAACTGATCTACAGCTTTCGGAAGAGTTTCCTTTTTCTTTTTGGGTTTTTTGAAACAAGTTGAAGAGCATACAGGCTACTGGTTCAAGTTTACTGACGTTTTCAAAAGTACGTTGACAGGACGAGAATCTTAGTTCATGCTGAGCAGTTTCAGTAATCGTTTAATATTACGCTGTAAAAAAGTGATTTCTTGCATCAGGGATTGTACTGTGGAAAGAGTAGGTAGGGCATTCCTTTAGTGTCGACTATGTATGCGAGTAAATTTGTCTTACTGAAGAAATTGAAAACATGATGAAATTTGGAACGGTTTCATCCTAACCAAAGATATCTATAAACGTTGTGACTGACAAGAAGTTTGTTTTTCGATTCTCTGGTTATGCACCTTTATAGTTTCATTTATTTGTAATTCACATTTGTTGTTGGCATCAATAGCATTTATAGAGATTTCATATTTTTCAGTTGCAGCACATATTGAGTTTGAGTATGACTTTCATTATTGAAATTGTCTTATTGCGAAATTTATATTCATTCTTGGCTCACAATGTTCACTTTATTATTATTTTCATCCAGTCGAAAAATATGTTAAATATAATAAAACTTTGAACTACATGTTTCAAGTAACCTTTCATTCATAAAATAGAATTTTATAAAAAAAATTATCGAAATCTTTTTCACAATTGAAAGTAAGCAAGTATACAATATAGTCCAAGTGAATATTCAATTTAAGGGAATATAAACTTATGATAATAATACTCACTCACCCTCTTCTAACTAATATGAAAAGAAAGAAAATTTGCGATGATTGATTCAATGAAAAAAATTAAGTGGGATATATTCAGTTTCTCCAGGACGAAAGATAAGATGAGGTAGGTCAATGCACTGGCACGTCCACTGGTTATGACATAAACTTTAAAGTTCACTAGAAACGCATTTGGTATTATTTAATATCTCAATAATAGTTTCAAAGAAGACATATGTACAGTGTGGGGATTTGTAATTGGATATAAATTCGAGGAACAAATCATTAGGGTTAGTTTTGTAACGATAATCAAAATGAAGGTGTTAAATAAAGCTCTATGTTTCGTAAGTGGATTCATAATGTTCTCAGTGATTTTTTATTATTCTTTTGGACTGACGAGTGAAATTTTGCTGAAGTGTTGTTTCATGAATATAATACAAAAGAGAAATCATCACGTTCGATAATTGAATTATGTAATTACCAATCCCTCATTGTAGTTATTTCAAATGGAATAGGAAGTTATCATATGTAAATAATATTTGAATATTCTCGAATGCTATTTATTTAGAAAATTATTCTCTTCGTATTTCATCCTAGGAGAATCAGGTGAAAAAATTATATTGATTTCATACGAATTTTTCGATATTAAGATTCATGTGAAAAAGTACCTAATACTAAGAACATTCATTACAAGACTGTTCTAGTCAGTTTTCATATCGTAGATAACCAATATGAATCTTTCGATCTTGAGTAGATTAAAATAATTTTCAGATCACCAATTCATCGCATTGCATATTCATACCGCGTGTTTTCATCGAGCTGAAGTTCACTAAATTTAAAATTGGGGAACTTGCGGTCAGCCAAACTCCTTTTTCAATATCAATATTTTTTTCTTAATGCACTGAATGTTACGTAAGGTTAGGTCAAAAGTGAGTGGGTCATTTAGATCCTCCATCGCAACCCGCAAAGATTTATTGTGGTTCACACCTATTCACACTCGACCAAATAAACCCAGCTTCTTAACGAAGCCGATTAGTTTGTATGGTGAGTGGTCTTTCAGGTCAGATGGTAAGAGTGCGACTCAGCCAAACTCTGAAAACCTGATTCGGAGTGCAGCGGGGCAGGCACAAAGTAAGTGCTGTTTCTGCCAGAAAAGTACGTGAAACAACAAATTCATGACTATTCAAATAACAATTAATTGTGAGGTTTTCAGTAATTTAGGTAATTTATTACGTTCAATGCGTACAAATTCAAAAAATTCTCATATTATCTGTAATAACTCTTTCTTTTCCTGAATAATAACTTATTCCCTTCCTGAATGAATAATTTTCAAACAGTATTAGGAGCTGTTCATACCATCTAGGGTGAAATTTGTTACATAATTCTACTTTTCCACTGGTAATTGTACGAGGGGGATGAGTAGAATCATCTCTTTGATATTCCAGTTCTCGACAGCAAAACACCAAACATAGATAATAATAATAATTCATATGAGGTGACTTCAGTAAAAAAAAGTTGAATTAAATAACTCAAAAATGTTAATATGTCGCCCAACAAATATGACTTCATCATCAGAAATCATGCATACTCCATTGGCAGAAATTTATTCAGAAAATGTTCATACTTCAATATCAATTTATATTTTTTTTCATCGCATTATACCCATAAGAACGTATGAACCACTTCATTCTAGAAATATTTTTTCATTTGCAATTAATATATCTGTTTTGATAATTGATTTCTCCACATAACTTCCACTGTAATATGATAATCTAAGTTTAGCGTTTGTATACGCGAAATAAGAGTTGAAAGTTGAACAAAGTTTAGGAAAAATATGAAGAAAACTTTTTTTTGAAAACTCATAGATGCGAAAACTATAACAAACAGTCAGTGCAAAATAATTGATTTTTGGTGAAAGTTCCTGAATGAAATAAATGATAACTGATTGAAATAGATAAAATACAAACCGAAAATTATGAAATTTCTTCTTACGTGACTATCGTGACCTCACTTGTATCCATTGAGGTCATTGAGACTCATCAGCCAATTCTTGCTCAGTAATTAACTATGAGGAAATGAATGTGCGCCAATTACAGTGATATAATTATCTGTTGAAGATGGAAACTATTCGTTTGGAAGAACTGCTGAAGAACTTTATCAAAACGATCAACAATTTCAAAAATTGGCAACTGAAATGAAACATTTTCGTGAAAGCTTCATTTAATTTGTAACTTCTTGTTATTCATAGTAATTAGTAATTGATCAGGATTGTTGAAACATTTTCCAACAAAATTATTACACTGAAAAATTAATAGAACTTATGTGAGTCTCCTTTTCAGGAAACTGATGTTTTGTAAACCAGATTGGTAGTGTACATCTCATATTTAAAAAATGATTTCAAGCAGTGAGATTTGTCAAATGTTTTCTGGAAGTTATTACTGAAACATGATGTGTATATAACATGTCTATTTCTTCTGACAGGTTGTCATGGGATTCAATCTCCTTTCTGAGACCTACGCCCAACAAGGTGATCAGATTGCAATAGTGAGATATGAAAATGAAGGCATTAATGCTGATGGCTCGTATCAGTGGAGGTAAGATTATTCACGTTCAGTTTCTTGCATTGATATTTACATTCAGTTCCTTCAAAATGAATTTCATGAAATTCAAACGTTTCGTTATATTAATGAGTGAATATGAATAAATTCCATATATTTCAACTTGCTTGATGCCTGAATGTTATCAATTTTTCAAAATAAATATTCAAAGTTAATTTCACATAATTTTATATTGGAAATCTTATTGAAAAATCCTCTTTACATAACAATCACAATAATCAGGTTCAATAGTACGATATTAACACGAAACAGAACAAAATATTTTGTGCAAAAAATTGACCAGAGATCATTTAAAGCCGCGCCATTTGAAATAATCTTTAAACTTTGAAACGTATTTCCATTTTGTCATTAAAGTAATGCGAATGTATATGTAACTGAACTATTAAACATCACCGTGCGCCAAATGATTAAAATTAAATTTTTATTTGTGAAAGTCATTCAACAATTATGAACCTTTCATAACATTTCTGTATTTTTTTTTTTCAAAATACTGATGATTCGTTCTGGGAATATTTTCTTCACATCAGTATATACCCAAAGGTTATGAAAATTCAAAAATGTATAACAGCTTTCGAGTATGTTATTCATTATAAAACAATTTTTCTATTGAAGAATTACATAGAATATTTTCTCTCAAACATGTTCATACCTATACTCAAATTTTTCGAATACACAATACACAATTTTGCAACCTATTTGCAAGATCCGCCAACATTTGTGATATGTTTTTGATATGCTGTGATGTGCTATTGAACGAACAAGTGGTAATTCATGATCACTTTAATGAAATGAATAAAAACATAAAAGCACTTTTGTCTACTAGTTGGACTAGTTTATGTCTAATTACCACTAGTTGGTAGTAGTAATTAGACAAAAGTGTTTCTATTTTTTTGTTCATTTCAATAAAGTGAAATCTGAAACATGTATTTGTCAAAATATGAATCAGGACACACGGCCGAATGTGAAATCAGCAAGGAATGTTGAAAAACAAGCTATCTATAAAAATGTTTCTGCTTATTAGTAGTGTGGTACTATAAATATAAAGGGCTGTTGCGTGGACAACAGTATTCAAACAACAATGACAAACATAGAAGTATCATCATTCTGCTTCTCCAGTCAAATCTTCTGAAATAACCGATACTTTTTTCAACTTTTAACTGTAGCTTGAATCGTTTAAACAAATAATTCTACAAGTTTATCATTATAAACCCTGTGGCTGTATCGTATAGAAATGAATTCAGAAGAAGATTATTCAGTAGGTAAATCAGATCCGGGGTAACTAGGAAAAAAATTGTTTCCGTTACGGTATTTATCGAATAATTATGTTTTATTTTCCCTAAATTAAGTATTTTATCACTGACCCATAAATTCCTAATTCAAAATGAGAATAGTGAACATAGTCTACTCCAGTGAGTTTATTCTGCCAATTTTGTGGACCTGCTAGAAGTCATTATTTGAACTATATAGGATATGTAAATATGACAATATCGCATTGATCTGTTTTTATGTTGTAGCCGACTACAACATAACTTTTTGACAGAATAGCCCCGCTAAATATCGATTTCTCCAAATCTGATTTCGAATATCATTACAGTTTTGAAACTGCGAATGGAATAAGAGCACAAGAACAGGGACAACTGAAGAATGCTGGAACTGAAAATGAAGGACCAGAAGTACAGGGGTCTTACCAATACACTTCTAACGATGGTGTTCCCATAGCTCTCAGCTATATTGCAAATGAAGACGGTTTCCAACCACAAGGTGAGCACCTTCCTACACCTCCTCCTATTCCACTAGCTATTCAAAGATCTCTAGAATGGAATGCTGCACATCCAGAAGAAGAAGAGGCAGGTAGGCCCCAAAGACAGGCTCCCTCAGTTCAACCGGCTTACAATAATAATCGCTTCCAAAGAAAATATTGATTAATAAATCAGTAATCATCAGCTCATTTTGTATATATTTCCTCAATAAATTTCATCGAATATCACTGAGGTGTCTTTCTTTCTTAGTCTGAGTGGCTACATATTAATATTTCAACTCATTATCTATGCAAATAGCCATAAAAGCTATTGTGAAAGCTAGTTTTCTAGGGATTATCAATTGATAATTTATTCCAAATAGTTGTCTTATAGTAAAAACTGAAAGGCAGAAGACGAGTCTCGTTTGGCGGTCGAGGCCATAGCCATAGCAAATCGCCTTCGAGCGCCTCGTTCATCATTAATATTCGTGGAATCCTAAATCGATATCATTGATGATATAAGTGAGAGACAGGTCATCGGACAGTTTCAGGGACAGTTTACTTCGGCAATACAGTTGTGGTTCAGCCCAGCACCACTGATAATTTCAGTTCAAAAGTAACATTCCAATTTGTATACAAAGTGCTTTCATAAGTGGTGCAATTTATGAGGTCTCTGTTTTAGACCTAGGCCTCTTCAGGAACGGTCTGGTAATACAATGATTTTTGATTTTTGTCAGTACACCTCGATTTGTTTATGGTTAGTTTTGACGGGGTCGAAAATGGTGCCAACTCCTAATTATGATTTGGAACTACTGTGGCTTAGTGTGAAATCCGAATTTTAGAATGGCTCCTGGCTGTGGGTTGCCCACTACCTTATCGCTAGCAGGAACTCATTCAGGATGCCAAGGAGGTGCTCCAGAATTTCCAACAGTACTCCTACTCCTTCAGGATCCTTCTGAAGGCTAAGAATGGTTTCCAAGGGATGGTCAGCATGCCTATCGTAGTGGTGTTGGTGCTGTTGATCTTCCGGTTTACATATAGACCATGGAATTCCTGACACCCCATGTGAATAAGGGTGATATTGAGTGAATTAGAGGTTTTATCACGGAATACTCATTGTCATTCCTGATTCAAGTGTTCCATAGAATACGTCTGCCCAAAAGCAGATGGAATCGGCTACTTTTTATTCATTTCAAGTTATTTCAGAACTATAAATTCACTTTTTGAATTTATTCAAAAATATATTTGGTAAACAATTTGAATTCATATTAACAAATTAGGTATTATCAAAATCACCAGAAGAGACTTTTCAAGGAATATGATGAACTGAATAAAGTGGAAGAAGAAAATAGATTGACTCCATAATGGGTGCCAGAATACTCGAGTATCACAGCATATATGGCCCTAAACCAGCTATGGAAGTATCAAAATTTTTGGTACAGAACCACATTGGAAATTGAAACTTAAAGAAAGATGAAGAGTACTGGTACAACATATCCGGGAATACAAATAGATAGACTTTCATTAAAGGAACTAAAGAACTTTTCCAACATAGCGCAGATCGGCTTAGAATAATTTCTGGGCTACTTACTGGACACAGTTCATCAAGAGGACACAAGAAAAGAACATGCCTGTATATCGAATACCTCAACTGTTTTCAATGCAACAAAGGGAAGATACAGCTTGTCATGTATTACGGGAATGTGAGGTATTCACAGGTGGCAAACAATTTATGGACAAACCAAATTATGTCCAGAAGAATGGGTATGGGATTGTTGGATTGATATCAAGAATAAAAAAGTGTTTTCAGAAATCATCAGAAAATCAACAAGAAATATACATGATGCAATGATGACCGAGGCCGATGCCAGTAGGCATGTAATGGATGCAAGTACGCGGACTGTTAAATAAAGGGTCACATATAGTCAATCAAGCAAAATTTCATAAAACTAATTTTACAAAAATGTGCTGAATTTTAAATAGTAATTGAAAAATTGCATCTCCATTGATGTTTTACTTCTCAGTTTTATAGGGGTAGATGAGGCTACTAATGGGTAGTCCTACCTATACAAAAACGATTCAAATGGTCCACAATGTTTCCGAACATTACAAACCAATTCAGATCATTCCACAAAATTTTGGAATGTTTTGGAATGTTCTAAATACTCCCAAATATTCTTGAATATTCCAGACTGATATAGATATATCTATAGTGCGTACCTACCAGCCCTTATATTTTTTTGAAAGATCTTTGCTGGAGTACCTGGCTTAGAAATACAATGGTCGAATATTCCACAATAGGTATCCAGTATATTACGGGATGTTTTGGAATGTTGTGAAATGCTCTCGAATACTCTCGATTGTTTTAAAATATGGCGAAACTTTCAACCCTCAGAACGTCAAAAGTACACCCTACAGGTGAAAACTGCAACTTTTTTTTAAGGAAAGGAGATAGAAGGCTACAGCATCTCAAAACCCAATCGATTGCACCAAGATCCGTTTCTGCCCTGAACGACTTTTGTTATCGTCGAGGATCCACTTTTTATCACACATGATGATCCGATACAAAAAAGAATCGTTTTGGTTGCGTAAAAGCAAAGAAACGTGACAGTTTCTGTGCAAATCGGGGGACCCACTCTATCAATGTGGCATTCACCTTTTAAATACGTTTTAAATCATGAAAAACTGAATTGGAGCTGATACCAGTTCTTCGGTCATCCCAAGCATCGTTTGTGATGAGATCAGTCTCCACGAGGATCCTCGTCCTAGTTTACTAAAGGCCGACCATTTCGGGGGCTTTGAGGCTAAAATCTCCAGAATGAAACTGTTATATTCATTGTTATGCCAAGCACAAACCAACGTCGTCTTTGGCATTGATTCATGCTTTCAAGTTCATGAAAGTATATCATTAAAACAATTCCCCATTTTGCCGACTTGGCATGGTGACACGGCATATCAATGAATAGGAAAATATTTGATGAAAGTACCCACTTTTTGGAAAAGGCGGTAAAGTCACTATTATGAACACGAAAAATTAATGAAAGAATGAGCTTGAATGGAGAAGAATACAACCCATTAACTATAATATCCTTGTAAAAATTTGCTTTCTACATTCATATTTTGATTTTTTTTCAAACATTTTCTACATTTCCACTTGTATTTTTAGTCTCAATGAACAAATCCCATTTTTCAACCTCATTGTTTTCAAATTTAAATGACTATTCCAGAATGCGGAACTTTCGAAAATGATATATGGAATGCCCACAGTTTACAACTATCAAACAAACATTTGTGTACTATATATAATAGCTATTTATGATATGAGTGTTAAAAGTAAGGTTCATGAAATTGCTCAACTCGCTACGCTCATTTCGCAAACTTTATCACTCACAAAATAAAACTTACTTTCAATCCAAATATCATACAGTTTTTTGTACAACTGTATTGTTTTCATGATAAAATAGAAAAATTAAATATTTTTATGAAATGATATGAGTGTTAGAAGTAAGCTTTTATTTTGTGAGTGAAAAAGTTTACGAAACGAGCTAGCAAGCTGTGCCATTTATTAATAAAAGAAATCAAATTGATGGATAAATCATTGATGGTTCAAATTCTAAATACGAAAACGAAATAGGTCGTTTTTTGCATTGTTGGAAAAAACATTGACTATTTTGATAAATACGTTGCATTACGCCCTTCTGTTATCAATCATCAACGTTTTTTTATGAAATTCTCAAATTATCAAGGCAATGCCAACCCAGTTGGTATAAACATGTTTGGAAAAATGCCCTCTACCATTACTGAGTTTATGAACTTCCAGGAACTAAAGGAATATACAGGTCACTGTTTCAGAAGGTCTTCTGCTTCTTTGCTAGCTGAATCAGGAGCATATATAACGGATATTGAGAAGCACGGAGGATGGAAGTGTACAACAGTAGCTGAGGGTTAAATCGACCCAGGGCCGTAGCCAGAAAACAATTTCGGGGGGGTTCGATTTGGTATATATTTATTAGAAAACCATAACAGAAATACTAACATCTTTTTACAAAATCAAATTTAGTTTTCTAGCTTTCTTTGCAGAAAACGAATCAATTACCTCCTCGATGTCGACGTCAATTCTACGATGTATTGACATTAACGCCAAACCGTTTAGTCGTTTCTGGCTTGTGAAGTTTCTTAAATAAGTTTTGAGGCATTTAAGAGAAGAGAAAGTCTACTCAGGGGTAGGTGTGGAAACATGCAGTGTCGCCAAGATCTTTAAAAGTTTGTGAATGTTTGGAAATAAGGACTGGTTGCATTCTCCAAGAGCTCGACCATGTTGGTCGATCTACTTCTTACAGCCATTTTATCCACCACATGTCTAATTCAGCTTTCACAAAGACCCCTTCTGAATATTTTTTTATAGAGTCCAAAGGAATTTTCTTGATATTTACTATTAATTTGTTCTTTACAACACGCAGAAAGTATTAAAATGTTGAGAGATGATAATGTGGCTTTATGATTTTGGAATCTCGACTGAAGCTGATCAATGAAATCATCCAAAAGTGGAATCATTATAGTAATTCTAAAATAAGTTTCAGGATCTTTTATGTTGTAGTTTGCCCTATGCTCTTGGCATGAAGTTATTTGCGAAATTTTAATTTATTCGTTTACAGTACAGAGCAAATTCTGTGCATTCTGGAAAAGTTTAGCAAATTTTGATTCAATATTTTGGCGAACATCTTCAATAGTCTTTGTGATTAAATCGACATGTTGTAAAGTTGCTGCCAAATCGCAAATGGAAGAGTGAACTATTTTGCATAGAGTCAATGTGTACGGAAACAACATTCCTAAGCAACATAAGCTTATAATAAAATCACTTGAAATGACTGATCTCAGAAAAAAAATTGTCTTTGACGATGTTTCACAATCGATGTCAGTAATCTTCACATTTTCGCGCCTTTATTTGGTATTCGATACAAAATCCTCACATTTTTCGGGGAGGGGGTCCCCCTGGCTACGGCCTTGCATCGACCAATCTATGTCTTATAAAAAGGCTATTGCTGAAAAAATAATCCCAACAGCCTAGCTCCAGCGTTACAGCATCGTCCTCTTCACTTCAAGAATTAAATGTTAATGCCCATGAAATTGTCGACCCAGATAGACAAAATGTGTTTTTATAGAAATATTAAATTTATCTATTTTCCGTGTTAGGAATCACACGTTAGAAGGTAAGACCTCGTTAGTCCTTAGCTCGCACAAGCTTATAACTTCTAAGAGTTGTCGTTCGTATGGGGGCGACAGCTGATTAACGGAAAAACATATTTCAAACAGATTCTTTATGAGAACAGGACAGTTGTACGGAAAACTTCGTATGATATTTGTGTTAAAAGTAAGTGTTATTTTGTTCGCAAAATTTTCACTGACAAAATGAAACCTTACTTCTAACACTCATATCATAAATAGATATTAAACCACTAAAAATTTTCAATGAACAACATACAAACTATGAAAACTGTCAAACAATAGCGAAACGTAAATGATTGCTCTGTAAATCTATGAAATTACCGACATCTCATGTTTATATAGCTCTCTCTCTTAGATGTACAGAGTCCAAACGATCATCCAAATAGGAACTTTCGAACCAACTGAATGCTTGACTCCAAAAGAATTTTTCTGAATTGAAAAAGATATTGTCTAGTGAAACACATTACTTGATTTTTGAAACCTTTGGGTAAAAATCTCATAATAAAGAATTATGCGAATACTTTGTTATAGATTCTCATTATAGTATCGGCAAATTCAATCCATATATTTGAATCAAACATTTTTAGGAGAATTTACAGTATTTGAATTCAATGAATGATAAATATACCTGATAAATCTCAGGATTGTTTCGAGAAATCATTATCGAAGTACCCTCACTACGTTACGAGAATAAAATATTCAGAGTTCATATCACAAAAATGAATTCAGCTGAATCGAGGTGAATATTTTCTTCAAAGTATCAACCAATAAAATAAGATGATATTGTATGTACTTCATCACATGAGTTAAATAATCTTGAGTCATGATTTCGAATGAATGAGAAAACATCAGTTACAAATAATTGTAATGCTATTTTGCTGCGGTTTTTCCATATAATGTATTTTCCGAAATCGTTAACTGAGAAAATGTCGAACATTTTGTGATTAACATTTGCGCATTCGCCATTAAATATTTTCAAAATATTTCATATTTTGTTCTCATAAAATCTTAAATCATTTTATCAACAATAAAATTGAATACTATTATTTTTATTCAACTCAGAGCCTATCTCATATTAGTTTCTTAGGAGAATGTGGTCAGATATTTTCCATTTATTCATAACCAGAACAGCGCATGTAAAATTTTCCCTCGCAGTAAATCGGCACAAATATATCGACGAATATCTTACTAGGTATTCTCAATGGTAGACCCATCTCAACAATTGAGTTGTTCCTAAGCTCTGGCTAGGTTATGAAAAACCTAAAAATCCAAAATGATCATCAAAAATATTTTCAACAAATTTTTGTCTGCACATTTCTTTCGGTTGTCTACACAATAAAAAGATGTTTCTAACCAAGAGAACTGAACTGTTAGGAGAACCTTGGAAAAGTGAAAGGAATTTTGCTTTTGTCAACTGGAGAGCAATTAAGCCACACGACTTNTGTTAGGAGAACCTTGGAAAAGTGAAAGGAATTTTGCTTTTGTCAACTGGAGAGCAATCAAGCCACACGACTTTCAGATTTGTATAGTTTTCGTGCCCATAATACATTTTTTTTATTCTGAAGACTAGTTGATTTTCTCTTACCTATCTGTCAGACGGCGAAGAAGAAATTTGAAGGATCTTTGGTTCTTGCGATATAAACATTCAGTTGACAATCGAAGAAGAAATTGATAACTGCCTTCCTCTTCTAGACATGATATTGATCATCACAAAACAGACGTGTGTTTATCGATTTATCAATTACCATCCTTATCATTGATGACGATCAATTTGATAAAAGCATTAGGAAACAGAATAAATAAAATCACTGTTTACCAAAAAAAGTAAAAAAGTTGCGTAGCTTCAAAGATCGAAGCATACATAGTGACTGATAGCGGGAAGCATTTTCGTTTTATACTATGTAGTGATAGTGATTTTTAACTGGTACCATTCTGCATTTGTAAAAAATTAAATATTACTATTCGTGCTGAGAATATCTATTTTGTTGGATCGAAAGATCCGATCTTATATAGTTTTTATCAAATATTGTTTCTATCAAATAAGTAACAAATTGCATTCAAGGTTTCATTTTCAGAATATGTACATAATCATGAATAAATTATCGAATTTACAATCCCACAAAATATGAACGTCAACTCGAAGGTCATGTGTATATAAATTTGTCTTCTGTTTCGTAATAGACGAAACATACCCAATGAATATATTTTATGGTTTCCTAATTACTCTGACCTACAGTCAATTGAGAAAGAAAATTCATCATGCTCATGATTGAACATTATAATCATAATAAATATTTTAAAAAAAAGAAATGACATAAAAACTGGTCGCAAAATACCGTGAAGAACTGTCAGACTGAAATAAATTGTCTCTATATTGGGTTCCTAGACATTCAGATTGAAAAAACTGATAAGACTGCTAGACACGGATTTTCAGCTCAACCAACTGTTGGGGTATGAAATTTACTGTCCAGAAACTTGATCAATCAAAAATATGAGCAGAACTGGAAACATAGGAAAACATGTTTGAAGGTTAGCAGCAAAATCAGCTACAGACAGTGCAACAAAGTGACAAGGACAGCCCGACATTTTATTCAGAATTGAGGCACTGGATCACTGACAGGAGATGAAGCATATGGCTTGAAATATATTTTTGTTGGGTCAATGTTTGTTTCTGTTTTCTGTGGTATTTCTTCTGAAAAATAAATGGTCGATAAAGTATCTACTGAAGTGTCATGACGGGCAAACTGAAAAGTTCACCGCGAAAAATAACTACGCAATATAAACCGCTGAAAATGCCTCTCAGGCGGTATTCACAACTTTGCCTATGAATTGAATAATCCATGAAAAAATTAAATTCATATACTTAGCTTTTTTTAGATCGTTAACGTTTTGGAAAGTAATTCTCTTATGCGTACGCAAACCCGAAAAATCATTTGTAAAATAACACCTCAGATGAAAATAAGTATGATTTATTTCTTATTACAAATATCAAAATGATGATAGATAACGACAAGGTTACAATTGCTAATGGAGAATCTATGTAAACGAAAATGTGAACTTGAACCGAATTATCGGAAAACATCCTATATGTGTATTCATGTGGATTATCGAATGAGATATTCAGGCATTTCATTATTTCAACATTTGTCGATGTTTTTTTAAAGTGCATTTTTTCAGTTTTGCTAACAAAGGATGTTCAGTGTCCTTATTTTTCGTGTTTGAAAGCCGTCGGTTTTTGGAATTCCTTCCTGACGTTACACTGGCGTGAGTGGCTAGCTTCTTCAGAGTTTATCTCATCGGTGATGAACTATATAGCGTCAGCGAAACGTCAGGAAGAATTTCGAAAAATCGACGGCCTTGAAACCCGAAAAATAGTGACACTGGAAACCTCGGCCGCGGAATCCTTAACCATACTGTCAGAGAAGAATGTTATTCTGCATAATGTAGTCGAATAAAAGCGTATCTATTCATCTGAAGAACACTAAATATATACTTGAATATTTTTTAGGATATACTCAATTCGTAGACAAGTTACTGATTGGAAATCATATTATCCAGTATCTTTTCGAGGATGACTTTTCAGTTAGCCCACAATTAAACCTCAACAGTTCCTCTTTTGATTCAGATTCGTTTATTTGTCAAATAATGGAACGTCAATTATCCAAAAATCTTTTGGATATCCCACTATGGAGGATTTCAAAATTAACAGTGTATTTTCAATCTTGGAAACGATAACACGCATCTCCAAACATGCCAGCCACTCGCGCGGGCGAAACATCAGAAAGAAATGTCAACAGAAGATGACCTGAAAATCCGAAACAACAATCCAATTGATTCGATTTCTCTTCAAATGAATAATTCCAAATGTGTGTTACTGTGTTTTTGGTGATTTCATAAGTGAAATATTTTGTTAATTTGTTATTAATTCTATTTTGTCGAATTGAATGTATTTATGATGAATGGAATTATTCAACCTCCGAGGTGCAATGTATACAAATGAGAATAATATTTCTTACATTAAAATTTGGACTGCTTCACTTTCGATATCCAAAGTTGGTGATAAACGTAGGGCCACAACACTATTCGTTTCATCTGAAACTGTTCAACTACGTTAAAATAGTATCAGATCGGATCTCGTGAACAACTCCAAACAATAAAAAGTTCATATACCAATCTCACTCTAATAAAAATTACAGTCTCATGACTGGACTTTATATTTCGGATCATAAATGATCTCATAAAACTGATCTTGAAGAGGTACCATTCATTTTAATTACATCTCGTATTCTAATAAACCAATACCAGTTATGAAATGTTATTCGAAAACCAGGTATTCATCGAAACGCATTTAAATAAGTCATAGAATTGAAATATGTTATGTACCTAGTAAATAACTCTTCGTTGGGAGATTTTTGCATAACACAATACCATAATTTGAATGGTTTGACCAAGGGTGGGCTAAGGGAATACTATTTTTAATTGATACTATACTATCAATGAAAAAAGAATTGAACATTTCAGCCTTGTCGTAATCTAAATTAGATGTTGTTGTTTCAAAAATTATTTTGGACGAACTGTCGGTTCAATGATTGTGTTTGATGTTTGGGAACATATTTTGAAGTAGAAAATTCTCAAGTCTCACTTGCGACTGAAAATAATTAAAAATATCTGTAAAGTTGTAAATTTTATCAACTGTGATTGCCTCGCAGTATAGTGAGTTATCTGGTCAATTGTGATTGGATCAAATGTATTGAGGTACAACTCGAAGAAATTGGAAGATTCTATTCTTAATGTGCAACAAAATAAAGCATCATAATTACAAAGTAGAAACAGTAAGGTTTACAACTTTTTTGAATATGTACCTGAATTGAATGAGCAACACTTGCAAATCATTGCTTTGGCTACAAGAAATTTATAGGTCAATAATCCACAAATTGAAACAACTATCCAAAAGAAGACAGTTCCAAAACAACTGGATACCATTCAGAATAATGCCATCAGAATTGCAATTAGAGCCCTCTGCACTAGTCCGGTAAACAGCATCCGTTGTGAAGCAGGTGAACCATCATTATCTTCTCGTAGAAATACACAGCTTCTGTCAACTCAAATCCAGAAAATCCAGTTCACCACAACGTCGTCGCAAACAGATTCAAAAACATTTTTGCTAGAAAGAAAAGAGCTGATCTTCCATTTTATGAGAGATATAACCGCTACCTATCCAGTTTACGTCTAAATATTAAGAATACTTCAAATATATCAAACTCTACTCCCTGGACAATTCCTCAAATACAAACAAACATAAGTCTCACCCAGTATAACAAAAATTAAACCAATCATGGGATAATTGAGACAGAATTTCACCAACTAATGAACCAAAATGATGACTTTTGTTTGATATACTCGGACGCATCAAAAACCGAAAAGGGTGTTGGGGCAGATTTCGTAAGTTCTGATTACAAGGCCTCCTTCAAATTACCCAAAGATAGTACAGTATTCACAGGGGAATTATATGCTATATTGAAAGCATTGAATTATGCCGAAGTAAGGAATCTAATAAAATGCCTTATTGTGACAGACTCGCTGAATGCACTTGAGGCAATCGAAGAACTGTACACCAACCACCCCATCATACTCCTCATAAAAAGATCTATACACTAGCTGCAAGGAAATGAAGAATTACAAATTCATTTTATGTGGATTCCATGGCATATAGAAATAGCAGGTAATGAGGTGGCGGACAAACTAGCAAAAGAAGCCATTACCAACCCGATTACAGCAACAGAACTTCAAGTTGCGTACCGAGATCTAAACCCTTTTACAAACATATCCTCTTCAACTGTTGGTAATCCCAATGGAATGAATCATCCTCAAAATTATCCAGCATCAAGGCATCTGTTCTACACCTGATAACAGGCCAAAACAAGTAATCCTTCACGACTTCGACTGGGTCATACACGACTTCGACTGGGTCATGGAAATCTTCTGACGGGCGAACAGCAACCTAAATGTACAATGTGTAATTCTATTTCATGTGTTGAACATATTATGTTAACCGAAAGCGTTCTAATGATAGGTTCAATTTCAATATTATCCGTTCACTCAAAGGCATATTAAGATAAAATTGTAATACTGNTATTATTATCATTAAAATGTGTCAATAGTTATTGCGCAGCAAGGTTATGAATGAACAATTCCTGCACATAATATCGCAATAAAAATAAGCAAGATTTGAATCGAATATAAAAACGTTATTTTAAACAATTGTCATTCCCTAGAAAGAAATGAAATGGTGGTTATTGAGAATCAATTCAATAATATTGAATAATAATATTGAACATTATTAAAGGGGGCCAAAGGATCATTCAGTCAATAGATCGATTTCACGAATAATTTTATGGCAGAATATACCATTATTGGGAAAATATAAACATACCATTAAGGTAAAACATTGTTTGTTTAGGTACAAACACAAGCACTACAGAAAAATACTTAATGCGCTCTCAGAGCGGTGCCTGTGCGAAAGTAACAAATCACATTGGATTTGAATCGCTGGAGATTAAATCCATTTGGAAAAATTTCTCAGAAAGTGTATTCCACATAAACACAGTTCTTTAGATGAAAGAGTTCTTAAACAGTGAAACTCGAGGTGTACTGAGTTGAACCTCGAAACTATTAGCAGCCACAGTACGTCGCGTATTTCTGATATGTAACGCTCTTGGTGAAATCAAATGTGCCAAGTCACTTGAACACTTCCTGTGAAAGTATCTATAGAAGAGAGACAAATCTCCAACCTTTCTTCGATGCTCCAGGCCATCAAGGTTGCACGTGATGTTCGCGTCTCAAATTAGGCGGATGGATCTTTTCTGGATGGAATCCAGCATCTTCAGTGTATGCTTGGGGGCTGAGCTCCATACATGAGAACAATACTCCGAAGAAGGTCTGATCTGAGCTTTATAAAGCATCAAAAATTGCTGAGGTGTGTACAATTTTCTGCTTCGAAACAGTGTTCCAAGCTTTCGAGAAGCAGTCTTTGCAATTACAGGAACATGACTGTGCCAAGGCAACAAACTTATCGAAGCAAAAAGTGAAATTGTCTGACCTGACATTATTGTATCCGGTTCAGAGACATTTACCTTCTTGGAGAAAACTTATTCCTGGGTTTTCGTGGCATTGAATTGAACCTGGTAACTTTCACCCCAATTCTAATTCACTTCTAGATCCTCATTAAGATATGCAACCTGCTGCTGCCGGTGAAGATGTGCCTCCGTAGCCGATGTCCTGGAATCGAAATGAAATAACGAGACAAGGGTGCTGTCGTTAGCAAAGCACTATATTGGACTCTTGGTTTTTCCAATAAGTCGTTGATATACAATAAAAAGAGGGTTGGAGACAATATGGATCCCTGGGGAACACCAGCGTTGATGGTGAATGTATTCGAGACATATCTATCGACGGCCACTTGCAGGAAACGTTTTTTCAGGAAGCTGGATGGCCATACACAAAAATTATCCGACTAGTCATAGTATTGAAGTTTGGACAGCAAACCATCATACCACACAGGGTCAAAGGCATTATAAATATCAAGCGTGACAGCTCTTGATTCTCCATATCTCTCGATTGCAGTATTCCAAATATGGGTGACATGATAGAAGGTCGTCTGTTGATCGTTGTTTCCGAAAGTCTTATTGATGATCGCTCAAGATGTTGAAGCCTTCCAAATATTTGAGGATATGGTAGTTTACCACAGTCTCTATAATCATTGATATCATCACTGATAGCAAAGCGACTGGTCTATAGTTATTTCAAAGATTTTTCTTTCCCTTTTTGAGAATAGGCTGAACGCGAGCAATCTTTCAGCAATAAGGAAAAACCCCTTTCTTGTATGACAGGTTGAAAGGTCTGTAAAGTACTGATGCGAGTTCATTTACGATGACGGGCACTTCATCAAGGCCTTGTTGATATTGAGCTGTTTCAAAATTCGGGTGACTAGACGCTGTCAAAAGTAATTTCCGGCATTGTGAATTCCAGTGTGGGATTTGTGGGTGGTGCCTTTCCCACAAAATCGACTGAGGAGTGGGACGCAAATTGTTTCTACTGTTGTTGCAATTGAACTATCCGCTTGTGTTAGTAGTGAAATTATGGATTCTGTAAAGTTCTGATTAACAGCTTTAGCTAACGACCAAAACGATCTAGACCCATTGGGATTGGCAAGAAGTTTATCTCTAATGTTCTGATTGTGAAGTTCTTTGCTTTCATTTATCCTAAGTTCGCAACTGTTGCGAACATTAACAAACCCAGTTCGGTTTTGAGCACTGGGACATTTGCGCCACTGCCGGTAGGCAAGATTTTTGGAGGCGGCAGCTTGCTTGCAATTTTTGTTGAACCAAGTTTTGCCGTTAGGTGGTCGTTCCATTGATAGAGGAATATATGCATCCATGAATGATAGAATAACTTTCTTGACTTCAGAAGCACAAGATGATGGAACTTTAGAGCTGAAACAAACATCTAACCAGGTGAAATTTCGGAAATGGTCTTGAAGATCCTCACATGGTTCAGAAGTTATTTACTCAACAGATCTCAATATACTAAAATAAACAACGTCCTATCAAGCCAAAAAGCAATTGATACCGGGGTCCCCCAAGGGAGTGTACTTGGCCCTGTTCTATTCATACTTTATTTGAATGACATGAATTTTATTAGTGACTGTGAATTCATCAACATCTTTGCGGATGATACTCTCATTGCAGCAAGCGACTCTGATATTCATAATGCTGTACGCAAAATTAATTTGATTCTTGAAAACGTGTCGAAGTTTTCGAACATAAACAAACTCAAACTGAATACCACTAAAACGAAAGCTATAATATTGACAACACAATATAAATATAACTCAATTGATATCAACTCCATTAATATTGAGATCTACGGCGAAACTATTGAAATTGTGGAAGAATTCAAATACCTGGGCTTCATCGTTGATAACACTTTGAACTTATAAAAACACTTCCAGTATAAGTGTGATAAAATTTCTAAAAAAATGTTTTTCTTTACTAGAATTAGTAGACAATTAACATTCCAATCTAACTGACTGTTTATAATAATCCTACCACGCTTTGATTACTCTG